AAAAACAAAAAAAAAACTTTACGTTTTGGCATGATGCCATCCCTTGCTTAGATCCAATACCACAAAAGTTTAGTTGATGCAATATCAATAAAATAAAGTCCTTGCAATATTTTTGATAGTAAGTGTCCCAAACAGAGTCCAGTATGTAATGAAGCATTTGACTAAACAGGTTCCAGTGACTTGGCATGAACATCACACCCCACTCTGTACACATTCCTCATCCTTCCCTTTGGAGAAATCTCACGTACCAACTGGTTGAAAGGGCTAGTTTGCCTGTTAGTAAGATCTTGGCAGCAAAACACTAAGGATAAGACAACCAGTGTATATGAGAGTTGAGGGTGGGTTTAGTTGAGAAGATCTAAGCTAAACTACAGCTAGTGGAGAACCTACATGTCAGTAGATGATTAGGTATTTGTGGCAAAACTAGGTGGGAGTCCCATTCCTTTTGTCCCAACACGCCAAAACACAGTTCTAGAAAATATCAACTAATGTATGGGGGCTGATCTGCTCAGTGCTATGTTTCCAGGAAAATATAGACTCTCATCCTTCTAATCCCCCAGGATTTGACCTAGATGAGGATTGTTTTTCAAGAGCTGTATTCAAAACCCCCCAAAAGACAGAGGGTAATTGGAAAAGTCAGAAAGGAGCCCTAATTGATCCAGAAACTTTCTATCAGAAATGCTTGCCAAATGAGGAAAGAAAAAATGAATTTCTTTCTTTTAAAAATCTATGTATGTTTTTAGAAGGATAGATATAATTAACAGTATCCTAAGCAGTTTTCAAACAACTTGGAATTTACATCTTTAACTAAAAAGGAAAAAAAAAATTCAGGAATATGCTTCCTTCCATGTCTCCCCCCCCCCCCCCGCCCCCCTTCTCCCATTTATAAAAGAGATCTGATAAAAAGGAACACCAAACTGACATGGGCTTTCAGGGCAATCCTAGACATCTGAAAATGCCATTCGAGTTCTTTGACATACATCATCTATTTTTGTATTTATGTATCTCTATGCTCTAGGAAGAGATTTACTTCTGAAACCGTATCTGATACTCACAGAAATAATTTCAAATTAGCATTTCAAATCTTTCTGCTTGTTTGTTTTTACACTGGTTGAAATGGCAACTTTCCGTAAAAAGAAGGTTGAAAACAGCATTTCTATTTGCTGTTCATGAAAAGGTCAGTGTTTCACAAGCCTTTTAACTACTGATAGGTCTGTCTGAGCTTTATCGTTTATTTGGGCTAGATTCAAGCTCAATATCCCATCTAATGTGTTATTATTTTAAATATTCAAATTATTTCTGAAATGTAAATAACATCAAAATAGAATCAGCCTTTTATAAATGAAATTATCAGGTTATTATGTTGTGAAATTTAGAAACTTCATGGCTTAAAAAAAGAGGGTAGAAATTATTGGAGGCATTTTTATGAGACACCTGTGTAAGTCCAGTGCATTACACAAAGTAACTCAGCAGTATAGAAAAGTGTGCCAAAAGCATACTTTTTTTTTTTTGGTTGCCAAAGCCAAAGGTTATGCATGCTCAGCTTTGATTTTCATATAAAAACTGAGAACGAGAGTGTTAATTGTACTGTTGTTTCTAAAAACTGGGAATCCATCTTCTGTAAGGATAATGGCTTTCAAATATCTTAGACAAGGGTAGCCTGGGATGAGATCTTAACAATTTTCCTTTGGCTAATTCTCTCATTTTTAAATATGTTCTCGTCAAGCACATAGATAATTCTCACCCACATCATTATTTTAGCCATGTTCTTTAATTATATGAGTATCATGAGAATGGAAAATCTTTTAAGATGTCTTCCTTGGGAAGAAATTACAAATTTTCATGTTGAGTATAAGAAGGTAGGGAATTATTTTTCTCACAACTAGACACATGGGCCATATCAGCTTTATCTTAAATATTTATATAATTTAGTCTTTTTAGGTGACATAGTTTGAAAAGTGGTTATATATTTGGTATACCTTTAAGAGAAACTGTTCCTTCCACCTGGAAAGAATGGAACCTTCACACTGGAGGATGGGTCACTGCAAACCTAGGATAATGTTTTTAGGAAAGATCTCCTTGGAGAATTTATCTATTGCTCTACCATGTGGCTTTAAGAAGTCTAATAACAAATGCCGTAAATTAAATGTGGGTTATTTCAACTTGGGAATGTAGGGGAAATGTCTTTGAAAATCTCTGGGCCATATCCTTCCAGGCAAATAAACAGTTTCCAGTACAGAGGGCTGTAAAATCATTCTAGTAAATTAATTCCCTTCTACACTACTGGATTTGGGTAGGTAGATCTCTTTGCAGTCAACAAATTAGGAGGGCTGGGCTCTGCATTAACTGTCAAAATTGACTCAGTAACATTGACGTTAGCTAATTTCTCTCTTGGCGTCTTTGGTTACTAATGTGAATTTCCCTACCATTTGCATATCATGAATGTAATAACTACAGAGAAGCATTTGATCCACTCATATTTCTTGGAGGCATAGAAGCTATATATGATGGGTTTCTATGGTTACACACTTCACGTTTGGAGATGTACGTGGGGGTCTTTATCCTCGACCCATACCTGCATACATTTATAGAATAAAAGGCTAGGTAGGTGGGCACTAAAACATGAAGCATGTGATCCAGAGAGGAACAAAGTGAACAGTGCCGCTGCAGTGTGTAGCTGTAGGGTCTAATCCTCTCCTAAACATTTATAGAGATACCACTGTCTGGTGCCTGTTTTCCAGGTGGAACGTCATTAGACTTTCCAATAACAAGTTCACTTTCAATAAAACATGACCAGAGTATTTTTAGTATGAGCCTTTTCCGCATTGTTGAGAGGTAATAGTGAACACTACTAGGGGTAATGAATATGATGGGAATAGCCACGGAAGAACTACAAAGGTTGGAAATCGGGAAAAAAAAAAGGTTACGATTGCATATTCCCAAGGGGACACTTCTCTGGATCTTCGAAAAAAGGTTAGACTGCATGATTTTAAAGCACGTGAGCAGGTTAAGCATCTGTAAAATACTGCACTGATTACCAGGCAATTCTGGGCAAGCAGTTCTTCCTGTCGAGACATGGGTCATAATCCTAACTACAAAGTTATATTGCTTTTTTGAAGTTATAATGTTCTGTTCTACAAATCAATCAGTCAATGAAAATAATTTATACAATGACCAACCACTGATTTAAAAGTCCCACAGGAGAGTCAGTGAGAGGACCTTTGACAAAATGGAAATTGGGAGAGCCTCTGAATGCATCTGTTTGGATATCTTGGCAGGGAAAAAGTCACAGCTAGATACTCACCCATTTCTCATTGGCTGGAATGCTGAAGCACTCTCTCCCTTGGGAGTCCCACCTCTTAGTGGTTGCTCCTCCTATAGGTAAGACATTCCCTGCTTTGGGAGATGATTAACCATGGCTGGGTTAAGCTCTAAAAATTAAATGTCTCTTACAATTGTTACCCCTTCCTATGCTATCTTTGCAGGTGAAATATCATCAGGACCGACCAACACTTGACGTATGTTGGGTGGAAGACAATGAACGTGGCTAGAGGTGATAAGAACACAATGGTTGGAAAGAAGAGCAGAAATGCAATCCATTACCAAAATCTGTAAGTAGATCTGAATGAACGTTCATGAAGCCACTCATCACAGCACCTTTCTTTCTTTGTAAAAGAAATATGATTTTTGTACGTCTCTTCTGTGTCATGTGCTTGTTTATCAATTGAAATGCTCAATTTTACCAACAGCTGGAATGTCTTGGCCAAGTGCAGTGATTACTACAACAAAAGCCAAGTGCCATTTTTAGGTCACTGTAAGATCCAGTGTCATACATGGTTGATCATGAAATGGCCAAATATTCTTGAAGTTATGAAACTATACTCATGACTTGCTCTGGATATAACTGCCCACAATCAGACACAGACAGAAAACCATAATCAAAGAGAAACTACCCATCTTGAGCCAGGAAACACTGAAAGAAGTCTTAAAGGAGTTGATTTACATTCTTGAGATAGTGAAGTTTTGTCACCATTAGAGAATGTAAGGGCTTCATCATCTACCAGAGGAAACGTGTTATTTTTCTGATTGCTCCCACAATGTTCTCAGATGGAAGCAGCGAAACTGGTGAACCTCACTTTGACAGATTAGGAGCAGGGGCCCTGGGCTGTGGAATCAACAATGAATCTAGGCCCTCGTGGACAAGAGCATGCGTACAATGATCTTTTATTAATCGTGAGACCACTGCGGGGGAAGGTATTGCATCAGGAAGTCTCATTGTGGATGAGAGCCACCTATCAGAATAGCTACAGAGTTGAAGACAGCATGCTTTATAAGAAAAAATTATAAGAAGAAAAAACTTAGTGTGTTTATGCTGTGAGCCACAAGAGCAGAGCTCCATAAAACCTTCACTGGTGGAAGGCTTGAATCGGAATCTTTGAAAGAATAAAATTAGCTTATAAGAGGTTAGAATCATTGGGCCACGGCATTTTGCTGAAGAGTTGCTCAACAGGCAAGGCTACTCTGGTCACTGAATTATTCCTTTTGCTGTTAAAGAAGTAGACGTTGGCTGCTCATTCTGTGTTAAACCAAAGATTGGGTCCCAAGAGACACATTAATTGTTGATCCAAGAAAATTACCTTCCCATAGCAAAGTGTTCTGCGTATGACCATATATGGATATAATATGGGAATTCTAAAGAATAATATGAGGAATTCTAAAGAAAAATTTAAAGACAGTGAGATGCATAAAGTATCATTTATCTCAATATTCTGACCCTGTGCTCCTTTGGGACATTAAAAGGAAACAGTGCATGACCAAAGGGTTGACATTTGCCAAGTCGAATACTGGGCGTCTATTTTCTTTCTTTTGGATGAGGATACCAATTGCACAATAATACCTTTTTGGTCTTTATTTCTTCAAAACATGAAAGCAAAAGATGAAGTAGATGACAATGAGAAGAGAGAAAACATTCCATACAGAATATGCTGTATCACTAGTGATTAAATCAGAAACAATTAGAAACTTTATTTGTCTGTGTCAATAGTGTGTACCATTTATAAGGAACAGCACAATTAGTGCACTTCCCCCCCAAGCTGTGCATAATACACACAAAATAATCAAAATAATTTTACACGACTATAATTCCTAATACAACCCTGAACAACCAGAATCATATTTTCTCTAAAACATGAAAATTTAAAAAGCAAACAAACCAAAAAGCTTTGAAGTTGACCAACGGCAAGGATTTCTTAAAGTCCTTTGTGAAAATTTGCTATGGGGTTATTAACATTCCAAATATGGCTAGAAAGGAGGGCAAAGTCTTTCTAATGTTTCAACAACTCATATCCCTTGACAATTTACTTGGTGTTCCTAGGCTAGCTTTCTATTTAATAAATCTTCAAAAAAAAAAAAAAAAAGGGTTAGAGTTTGCCCTCAAAGGAGTTAGGCCACCAGTGTGTTGGGCCATGACAGGTAGGGGTGAGGCTCCAAGAGATAGGAGAAATTGTAGAGCTGTGGGGGGCATAGAAAAGTACTGCTGTCCAAGAAAGATAAAAATTGGGGTTAATTGGGCCTTCTCAGTGATCCGGATCACCAGCACAACTGCCTTACTTGGTTTAAAATGGGAAGATGTGCAGATCTGCAAGATTGGCTAAGGCTACATAGAATGTTTTTCGTACCCTATGCCTTATACTGTCTCAGTTAAAGAAAATCTTAGATATTTAGACAAGAGGGTTTCAGGATTGTGTTTTTCTCATAAGATCAGACTGTTTCCATGAGACTGTGTTAACCCCCTCTGGGCAGGGATCTGGGCTGTCTTGTCCATGGTTTAGTCCCCAAGAGGCAGCACAGTGCCTGGCATATTGAGTGGGTAACCAGCATTTAATTATTCATTCGGTCAGTCACCCAATGCTTATTAAATGATGAATGAGCCTGATTATTAAGTGGAAGAAAATACAAATTAAAATTGTTGAGAGTTAAGGATCTTTGAATCAATACAGAGGGCTTAGGGGTGTCTCCGGCCTGGGATTCTTTATGGATAGAGAAGTGTCTGAGAGGGGACCTAAGTCATCCATTTATACCTCATTCGTGGACTCATGGCTTTGGAATGTTGGGTTTATCCACCCTCTCTGATACTGTGAAACAGAAAGAGCCATTCCTTTTCCAGCGTTAAAAATCTCCCAGGGCAATGCTCCTGGGAGGCACTAATCATCCCATTTAATTGCTTCCTCCTTAGTCCTAAGTAGAGAAGATACACTTTTAAAGGCCTGTTGCTCACCACGGCTTCTTTCCTCCTCAGGAACTGCAGATACAATCAGAGGGGTCTGGACGGTGAAAGAAACAGGGCTCCAAATTGCCTTTTACATACAAAAATAAAAGGAACAAACCAGCACTATCTACCGTCTGTGCCAGACAGAGCAGATGTGAAATAAATACTTTGGGGGCAGGGGTGTTGTGGGAATGGGGGCTTTCAAAGCTCAGGCACATCTAACGCATCCGCTTCTCTACATGCCCTTCTCCTTGGCCTTCCTGAACCAACAGGTGAGTTTCTGAGGCTCTGATGTGTACCAAGTGGCTAATTTTCCATGAAGATACTTTGTAGTTTGCCTACTGTCCTCTCAATAGCTTTAACTTCCCATGTAACAGTTATTGCTTCTTAGAAATGAACATGCAGATCCATGAATAAGCCATTTTCTCCTTTTATCCCTAATCAAACTCAATAACAACACAAAAGTTACAACTCAGGTGAAAAGAAAACTCACTTATGTCTTCAACGACCAATCAATCAACGTTGCCCAATGGGAGAACGGTACGTGCTATACTCTGCTATGTACAGATGCGCTTGGCTTTGTCGTATTTGTTTTTCATCCATGCGCCGTGTAACAGGTATCACAACAACATTCCCAAACAGGCCCACGAAGGAGGAGCAGATGTTCGGTCACGACTGGAACTGGAGTGTGCAGGCCATGGATGCTTTTGAAAACAAAACTGACGGACGATCCCAGGCAAGAGCAACATGGGACTGGGACACACAGTGATGCAAGTGGAAAAGGATGATGTGCTTTTGGAATGGGGTTATTCTTCCTGTTTGTCTGAGGGGAGGTGAGCAGGAGGGTTGGGATGGGGGGGGGCCTGGGGGGTTAGCAGGGCTGGAACACCAGAATATAAGGGCCTTCCTAATCACAGTCCAGTGCTAAAGAGATAAGAAAGGATTTTGCACGTTCCTGGGAATCTAGGCGCGATGTTCCTGTACCTGGCGAACAAGAGTGCCAGGCCTATCAGACTCTATCTAGGACCGTGACTTTTCTGGGCTCCATTCCAGCTGCCATGTTTCTTCTTGGAGGCAGCTTCACCTCTGCTCCCATCCCAGAGATGAGCATGCAATTTAGTTATATGGTGAAGACATGGCTTCTTTCTTTTTCCATGCCCATTTCCTCTCTTCATCCAAAATAATTTTTTAAATGTTTGGGGGAAGGGAGAGTTATCTTAATGATTTCCATTTTTACCCGAAACCCATTTGCATTTAGATTGGTCATCACCTCCCACAAGAGAAGCAAAAGCCCTGATCCTCCCCCCAAAAACCAAAACAAAAGCCTAACATCAACTACCTCCCCAACCCCACCCCCCAAACAAGCAAAAACAAACAGAAAACAAATCAAAGACTTAACGATTTATGAACCCGGGGAGAACACAGCCCTCAGAGGCTGAGCTGCAAAGATGGCCCTGCCTCCACGCCTGGTTCAACGTGACGACGCCCCTGGGAACAGGAGGTGATGCCTTCCTTCTCACTCTGGCCCTAGTACAGAGTCTGCTCGTGAAGCTGGATTCCATCAGCAGGTAAGTGGACATGACAAATGACAATTCTTCTGTTCGTTATAATTTTTTATGTATATATATGTATATATATATAAATTTACTACATCTGATTGTTCCTTTAGAAGCCTTTTATGTGGCAGTAGGCCTCCAGGGAGGAGAAGAAAATGTACAAGAGCCACAGGAGCACAAAGAGGCAGGATGTGAGGAGCTTGGCAGTCCGGGGCCCACCCAGCTCACCTCCGATTTCTGGCCTCCGCCGATACAGCAGCACCCCGACATTGATGAAAGCAAAAATGGTGAAGAGAGTGACGGAGAAAGCCAGCGTGCCAGGGGACACTTTGAACTGTTCCCCGTTGGCTGCATGGTAGATGGCAGCGATGGACCAGGCCACGCCAATTCCCAGGAAGACATTCACCGCGTTGCTGCCTGTGACGTTACCTATGGATGCATCTGCGTACTGGTCCTGGGTGGCGGCCACTTTGCTTGCAAATGTGTCTGTGGAGGAAGAGGAAAAAGGCCATGACACTTAGCCACTTAGAGAGGTCTGTGGAGTGCCGGCAGCTTCAGCTGCGCACTCTGGAATCAAACCGTCGATGGAGACCCCGTGACCAGGACAGAGCTTTGATGTTCCCTCGAGTCCCAGTCGTGTGGTCAGAACGGCAGGATCCAGGTATCAGGACTTGCTGACTTATAGGTGACCTTGGTCAAGTTCTTTACCCACAGATACCACGGTTCTTTGTAACACTGAGTTTGCAGGGAGGCATGTTTCAGAGCGTTATCACGGCCTATCTACATCAGAATCAGATGGGGTCCTTCTTAAGAATGAGTATTACCAGGCTCCGTCCAGCCATGCCAGATCATAAGTGCCGGGACTCAGGAACATGTTTTTACAACATGCCAAAAGATTCTAGGTCAATGAAGTTTGAGAATGGCTGCTGAAGGGTATTACTGAAGGCTGCTGTATCGTCCGCTCTAGTTTATAGATGAGAAGGTTCAGGGCTCAGGAAATATTTCCAAAGATTCAAGAGCAAGTCAGTGGTGGAAGTGAAACTAACTGACCCATGATAACAACTGACATTTGCCTAGAGCCTTACAGACAGGAAAGCAGATTCACCTACGTTATTGTGTTGATGGTGACAACAGTTCTATGAGGAGAGGGAACTTTATAGGTGAGGATACTGGGCTCTGAGAGGTGCGGCATCACACAGCAAGGAAGAAGCCATGTTAAGGCTTGAGCTCAGGCCTCCTGCCTTCATGCAAATGCTGTTCATCGTTCCATCTCACCCTTCCCTGGCCTGGCACGTTAATGGCCATCCTCAAAGCTCTTTGTTCGCCAGTAATCCTGTATGCTTCTTTTCTCTGAAGCTGGGAAAATCATACATTTCCTTCCTCTACAGGGAGTAGGACAAGATTCACTTACACTTGGTGAGTAGAGCACCGGGGCTTAGTGCAAACCCGAGTCAGAGGGTGTGGAATTCTGCCTGCACAGCTGAATGTGTGACCCCAGGCAGATGACTTAATTTTTCTGAGACTCAATTTCCTAATCTGTGCAATGAGGAGAGTCATGCCCACTTCAGAGTGCTTTTGTTCAATTGAGCTATTATATGTAAAATGCTAACTAACGTTTCTTTGTACAAAGCAAGAGTAGCTCCTTTTGGTGCTTTGGGAAGACAATGTGAATGGAGCTGCCTAGATCCATCTATTACAAGTTGACGCTGGATCTGAAATAGCTCCCTTTATTAAGAATGTGAACAGGACTTGTAAGATATTCAACTTCCTTTCTCTATGCTCACCTAGTTACTGGTATCAAAGTCCTTTCAGTTACCTCTGCAAAATACGTTGCACGGTCGGTTTAGAGTAGATATTAGTAACTGTCAAGTTGCACTCACGTTTGCAAAGCCAGCAATGGCAGGTATGCTGCTACCACAAGGCAGTATGCTCTGAGCATGCGTGTGGTTGTGTGCTATCTGGATTACTCTCTCCCCTCTGTTGCTATTCGTTGCCACTTCCAATGAGGATGACACGTAAAGCACGTACGTTTCTATCAGCCTGTAGATTCTTATGCTTTTAACATGGGTGCTGAGAAGCTACTGGATCTGTGGTGTCACATTCTTTCTGAAAGGAAACTGGTTAACCTCGAGGGCCCATCTCACTGATCCTGACCTGTCTGTGAGGGAAAGCAGATTTTAGTTGCTGTTTTATAAAGAGGCGGACTGCTTACTCTGTGCTACACACGTCACACGGATATTTTCATTCAACCCTCTTATCAACCTTATAGAGTAGATGTTACTATTTCCGCTTTTACAATGTGGGAAACAGCGATGTTGTGACAGTATGCCTCTTGGACAGGGTGTCCGTCAACAAAGCAAGGATTCTGAGGCCAAATCTGTTTGATTTCAGAGCCCATTCTCACCCTAGACCTCACTGCCCCTCCTAGGAAGGCTAAAGGTTTCCTTCCCTCTGTCCATTTCAGGTTGCCCTGTTCCTTCCACTCAGAAACCTTGAAACAGCTCCTTCCTGTATCAGTGAGAGCAAAGACTGAAGGAGGTATAGGCAGCTTGCTAACCCGTCCTGCTGGATGGGTGCTGCCTTTTTGCATTCGTGATCACACACCGCAGCCCTGTCAGGACCATCACAACAGAGGCCGGTGAGTAAAAGCCCAGTGAGACAATCGTCACGGTCTCTTGCTGTTCATTATTAAGAGTTGTTAGGACCTGACATAGCCGCAGCCTCAAAAACAATGAAGTCATTTTGCTTTGACTTTTCGAGGACAGACAGGCAGCTCAGCAAGGAAAGTAAAGGAACAGAGTCTAAAGCAGGAGAAAGCCACTTTTACAGCTCAGCTGCTGCTGAGGATCACCTGAGATGTTATTCTGCGCTGGCGTGGCTGCTGGCGGAGGCTAGTGCCTTCCCCCCAATGCTGCAGGGGCGGGCACCTGGCGTGTTCCACAGCTTACGCATGCATACCTCCCCCGGCACGCAGTACGTGGCACACTAGACTTCCTGGGTGCCCCCTCCCTCTCCACTCGGAAACCCTGGACTTTCTGGATGGCATCTCTGCTGCCGCCCCAGAAGGGAGTGAGGCACAAATTCAAAGATGTACTGGGCCCTCCTGGGTCTGCAGGGACTTCTTCTCCCTTAAGCCATTTCTCAATAGCCTATTAATTAATGTGAATAGCGCATGAGAATTCTTGTAATAATAGGTTCCTGTTTACAAATGCCTTTCTTTGGATTCTCTGAAAATTAGTTGCCAAAGCGATTAGCTCCTCACGTAAATGAAACATGTTTGGGCCTCTGAATCAGGGAGGTTTTTTTTTTTTTTTTTTTACCTGGGTTACACATCAGACCTTTGCTTTTCAATTCAAAAGCTGGGTAAAAAAAATTGTAGGAACACAAGTAAATCCAAACCATCAGCCTTAACTGCAACAGAGACAACTCTGACTTCCAAATGAAGTGTGATGGAATCTCCCCAAACTATCTTCTCTCACCACTGCTTAGTGCGCAGAGCAGCAGACTGCAGGCGAGGCCCTGCCAAGGGTCAAGCCTGACCCTGAATGCCAAGCCCGCAACCTGCTATGGCTGAACAAGGCAAAAGCCACTCAAATGCCATTCCCCGGAGTGAAGTCCAAACAAGGACTATTGACATGGCGTGAGCATATTCAGAACTTGGCCCGTTAAACACAAACATGTATGAATCAGATTGCCACTGTGATTGGTACAAACTAAGTTATGTTGATAATCATTTACATACGTGTGTATACCTGTACCTACATATATACTTCAGGTTAGTATTCTACTAATAATTTTTGCTTCTAACTAACTCCCACCTTGAATTCTAATGAATTTTATTTTTATATTTTTCCTTTCTTACAAACATCTTTATTCCCAAACTTCAGTTCTATTCATTGCTCATCCACATTATAATTTGTTTGCAATGTCTTTTATTATGTAATAAGATTCACAATAGGAATAATCTTGGCAAATATCGATGGGGTGGACACATGGATTAGTCACTATTCTGAGCCCTTTGCTCAGCCCCTGTAAACTTCTTGACGGAAATGCAAGCGCTAAAATTATACTCTTTTTTTTTTAAGCCACATTGTAAGGCATGCAGGACCTTAGTTCCCTGGCCAGGGATCAAACCCGTGCCCCCTGAATGCTAATCAATTTTAAATTAGTCGTAGAGTTTTAGACTTTTGGTCCTGCCCCCTTGGTACCCACTAACAGGGAAGATTTGTTTGGGAGGCACTGTGGCTGGAATTAAGCCATATGTTACAGAGTCAGGACATAATTGTCCTCTGCATCTAACCTTGGCGGCTAAGTCATCTAGTCAATATGCAGGAATATTGATTAGATATCAACACACTCCCCTCTCCTCCAGAAATGATTTTTTAACTGAACTTAAACTTTATCGCTACATACAGACTAAGCCTCAAACATCTCTTCTGTAAAAAGGATAGTTCTTACAGCCCTGCAGGTCACAGGAAGGGTTTACATATTACCTAGAGTACCACCCCACGTGGTTTATCTTCGTCTTGACTCTGCATGTGCTGGGGGCCAGCTGTGCAACTCTCAAGTGCTTCGCGCTCAGGAGCAGATTTTGACTGGAGCCCAGCCTGCTACGGAGGCATGGTTGCCGCCTCCCATCACCTGTGAATTACTGATGACGCAGGGGACAGGCCAGGTGGTTCAGAGCTTCCTGCTGCGTTAGTGGGAGAAGTCTCATCAAGGGGACCCTCTGGGCTCTTCTGTCAGTGTGTTCTTGGGCAAGACACTCACTCTCTGGGGGGGGGGGGGGGGGGTTCTGGTTTCCTAAGTCTACTGTTTGGGTGGTACATAGAATACATCGAGAGACTAAATTCATATATATGATTTTGGTGGGATTTTTTCTTTTTTGCAGGCGTTTGTACATGACCACCCACCTTGCTTCAAATTGACTAATCGATGACGATATCTCATTTTAAAGAATAAATGACCTAGATGAAATAGTCAAAGTGATCTCTAGACCTGAAGATCTTGCCAGTGATGAAACTGTGGCGATATTTATGGAGTTGAACCACACAGCACAGGGTCATTTGACCTCTTAAAAACAGGAAAGAAATGTTGGCAAGTTTACTTACTTCAAATCACATGACCATTTATATGAGTGTAGCCATGCAATAACTGGTGGCAGTGATGACTTTCAGATACTGTGTATCATGTCAATCAAGTGTGCATATCACTGGCACTGGAAGTACTGGGACAGCCTAGTTAAAAAAACAATGAAAATTTGGGGCTCCACCCTTCACCCACTTAATCAGACTCTCTGAGAAAAAGATACAGGAATACACATTTTAATAAGTGCCTGAGGTGCCTAGCTTTTCCACCAAGGTTCAAGAACCACAGCTCTCAGGCATGGAAATGGAAGCTACTACTCCCAGTGCCCACAGTTTGGGGGGGCCTTGCTGGCAGGAAGAGATGTTTGAGTTTCAGGGAAGCAGCTAATTGAGAAGTAA